AAAAATAAACTACAATTTTATAATTGTATTGTACAATGATTCCAACTTTGCACGACTACCATGCTCTAATAGAGTGGAAGCGCACATCTAAGCTATAACACTAAGTTTTGATGATGGTGTAAATTATTCGTGACGGTACAAACCGATGATCATGCTATGATGTGCCTAGCACAACCTGGCACGACATATAATTTTATATTCATGGAGATTATATCTACTCTTCTTGTTCTCTTTATGATCCAAAAAGTGATTTTATAACATTTTTTAAAGTTAAAAAGGTTTGACTTGCTGAGTATTTTGTTAATAAATCGAATGTAAAATGAGTGTCTATACAACTCGAACTCAATTTTTCACTAAGAATTTAAATTATTTGTTGAAAATTATATAAGATGTAGATGACTTGCCTTGTGTTATTCGATTTGTCTATGCTCGAATCTAGAAAAACACTGCGAATAACACATTTCTTGCCTCGAGAAGGAATCACTTGGTCCTCCAAGGAACATTCATAATACATACAGTATAGAAGTCCAATTTTTCACTAACTAAATCTAAAAATTTTAATTAAAATTATTTTTCACGTTTGAAAGGTTTTATAATCTAATCAAATCTAATTTAAATTTCAAATGACACATAAGAAGAATATTAATAAATTAATCATTCATAGAAAGTTAACGTAAGGGGAAAAAAAGCTTTAAAATAGAACTAAATAAATAAAGATAAGGGCGACTCCCTTGTTCAAAACAAACTTCGAAGGACGTCTCCATGATATTTTAAACTACGTAAGGGAATCTCCACATGTCTCATATACCTCTCTCGGCGCTTGCGTGAGAGACTTCGCTGGAAGTGGCTCCAAGACTAAGGAGCCTCGGTGGTCAGCCACGAGGCAAGATGGCCCCGGTGAAGTGGAGCCACTTGTGGTGTTGAGGGATATAAATAAATCTCACATCGATTAATGATATAAAAATATACCAATTTATAAAGATTTAGACTACTCCACTTAACATGGTATAAGAAAAATCACAATTATCAAGAGAACAATGACCCAAAAAAAAAAAAAATACCAATGAGATTATATCTTTTTCCCTGAAAGTTTCTAGATAAAATGATTGAAACTACCTGAAGTAGCGAACAACAAATAATTAACTTCTTTTCAACTAAAGCAATTCACAAAAAGCACCAAATAATATAAAAACACAATTATCAAGTGAATGACTAAAAATATCCACGAGATTTATCTTTTGCCGTCAATAGTTACAAGATAACATGATTGAAGTAGCCAGCAACAAATATTTATCTTCACTCCATTAAAAAATTGCACAAAATGCACCAAT